TTAAGGGTAAGGGCTACTGTTGCTAGGTGACAAGGAAGAGAGAAGGATTTGGGGACTGAAATTGAGCAGACATCAGTAGAGTTGTCTTTGAAAAGTTTGTTTGCTTTTTTTTAGGAGATAGTCTAGGGTGGCAGATGTCCCAGGGAGGTGTCTTATCAGTATTTTTACCAAGTCTGTTAACATTTCTAGAGTAAAAGTTACCAAGAGTTCAAAAGAGGCTTCTTTGAAGAGGATGGGGGAAGGAAACTTTCTACTAACTAGAGACTTCTTGATGCAAATTATCCCTGAGTTGTAAAAATCGCAGGGAGAAGGGGTATTCAAGAATGTGGTCTTGAGAGTAACTTACCTTGTATTGCAGTTTGAACAGAGGGGCTATTGAATCAGAGGACCTTTTACGTACGGGGTTTAATTAGCAAGTGCTTCTCATAAATTGTGAAAGGCCACAGCAAAGAAAATGAAAGACCTTTTCTTGTCCTTACAAATATCTGCTCCAACTTTAGAACCCAAGGCTTTATTGACCTGAAGCTTAACTACTTCTAGGAGACCAAAAAAGGGACACAGCAATATGGGGGCATTCTGTTAAGGAGGTGTGAATAATGGGTCAGAGAGAAATAAACCAGTCATAGAATTTTCTCCTCAACTGATGCTTTAAAGAAGTGGAGGGACACTGTTTTAATTACAGTGGCGACCTCTGGGAATAATTTAAATCATAGTGAAATAACAGAGGGAGTCTTCCCTTTTTATACCCTGGGGTCATTGTCATGCAGATATGGTTCCACCCTCTTCTCTGGGTTTACAGGAAGGCCCCCAGGTGTCAATGATCTGTTCTGGGGCCAGAGATAAAGACCTCCCCCTCCCCCCACTGCAACCCAACCCCCAGGCAATGCATTGTTCACAGTTTTTATGGCCCAACACACCTTGCAAGACCAGTTTCCTCCTCAGTATGATTGTCTGTTTTTTGACATTAGCTTTGTATAATGGATTCCATGGAGGCAGGATAGACCCGTTGAGACTTGAGCAACCTCTGCAAGCTACATTTGACCTGAAGGAGACACATGCCAAAGGTCATGACTAAAGAAACAATGCCTGCCATTCTGAAAGAGCAGTTCCTGAAGAAAGATATGCGAAACCAGCCACACATGTGTACGAGAAACGAAGTGGTCCCAGACATCACCTCCACTGATGGCGCTATAGGACACTTAGTGTACTTGGTGTGTTCTTGGACTATTTGATCCTAAATCCAGTCCTGGAGTCAACTGAGAAATAGGGGATTTTGGCTTTTGAGCGGATGAACTACATTACCCAGAAGTCCATGCAAGGAATGCCACCAGGCTGAGCCAATGGAGGCTCAGAAAAGGCATTTCCGTTTGGCCGCTTCTGTAGGGCGGGAGCAGGAATCCTTGTGGCGGGATTTTTGTCCTCAGGTTTTTGTCTCCGGCGGTGAGGTTTCCCTAGTAGATAGACCCACCGAGAAGGCCAGAGAGTGGTGCTCCCCGCCACACAGCCAATGGTGGGAGCCTCCAGTGGTGCTCACATCTCCCACGTGGGATTGAAGCTCGGAGTCACCACCCGGACCCACGCCAGGGCCGGGCCAGGGACCGCCATTCCTGCAGCGGCTTCTGCTCCCGCCCGGCTCAGCCCACAGAGGGCAATGGCGGCGCCCCCGCTGAGGAGACGGGCTGAGGTGAGTTCGAGTCCCCCAGGCCCTCACCGCCTCCTCACACAGACACCGGTGGACCTGGATCCGGCTGGACTACAAGCTCTCTACACGCCATATGCCAAGTTCATGGGTGAGTCCAGCGAGATCCAGTGGCATTGGAGCAGGAAAGGGGCAGAGCTGAGGGAGTGAACCTGGGGACTGAACATGGGAAGGGGATAAACATTACCCAGTGGTGAGCACATCTGGAGGAAGTGTGAGCTGATGGTCCCTGGGATCAGCTGTGGGGACTTAAAGGGGAAGCAATAAACCCACGCTTGGCTTTTTCTTGGAGGCAGGATCTAGGAGACTGCAGTGGTGTTGCTTGGCAGGAAGGCTGGGGCCCTGCAGGCATCGCCCAGACCTTAAATGGCATTGCCCTCTACCCTCCCCTCCCCCAATCCTTCCCACCCAACCCAGCTGCTCTGCTGATGGCCACTGAGTAATGGGAAGGTGATAATAGAGCAGCCTGCCCTGGCATTAGGGACTGGTGTCCACAGAAACTGGGTGCCCTGGAGGACATTGAGGGTGGGGAAGATGTGTAAGGAGTAGGATGGCAGGTTCTCAGAAAGGCAGCTCTGGTTTCAATTGTCTCCATTCTGACAGGTTGGCGTGACCTTTGAGGACATTGCCCTGTACTTCTCCAGGGAGGAATGGAGCCTCCTTGATGAGGGTCAGAGACAGCTCTACCTGAATGTGATGCTGGAGAACTTTGAACTTCTATCCTCCCTTGGTAAGACCCTCATTCGCACAGTGACCTTGACTTGGCTCTGCCATTTTCCAGGCCCCATCCTCCAGGGTGTGCTCTGTCCTCCCATGTAGACTTGGTACTGCTTCTTTTTCCAGTTTCTTAGGTAGTTGCTGTCCTGGGGAGAGTTGGTCTGTTTCCACTGCTCTTTCTATTCCTGAAGTTCCAATACTCCCGCTGTTGCTGTTCTAAATTCACAGGGAAGGACTTGTGGTTGGTAGTGTTGCAGGAAGCCTAAGGGATTCTACCTTGCTTACTAAGAAAAGAATTTTTTATATTCCTATTGGTCATATATATGTTTTTTCTGAAGAATTGTCTGTACATCTTATTCTGCTTATTAACTGTATTTTTTGGTTAAAGATTCTTTTGATTATCTTGTATATTTTATGTATTAACTAGAAGCCTGGTGGATGCATTCATGCACTGGTGAGGTCAGTTGGGCTGTCCTGAGCACTCTAGCAATCCACAATTCCGGGACCCATTGGGGGTTGTTGGACTGCTGATTTTGGCCTGATCCCCGCAGGCCAGACTGAGGGACCCCACCAGTGCACGAATCTGTGCATTGGGCCTCAAGTATGCATATAAGATCATTGGTTAATCTCTAACTGCTCTCCCTTCTTCCCTCTGACATTCATCAGTCTGTTCCATGTTTCCATGCATGTGCTTTGAGTGTCTGCTCCCTGGTTGTCAGTGCGCATCATACCTATCGGTTGAATGGTTGGGCAGTTGCTTAGGCTTTTATATATATATTAGAGGCCCATTGCACAAAAATTTGTGCACTGGGGGGGGTGTCCCTCAGCCCCATTTGTGCCCTCTTACTGTCTGGGTCCCCTCGGGAGATAATGACATGCTGACTTAGGTCCACTCCCGGGTGTCAGAGGTCAGGCCCAATCCCTAGGTGCAGCCCCTGGTCGGGCTCAGTGCAGGGCCGATTGGGGTGTTGGGGCGGCGCCTCCTGTCACACTCAAGGCAGGGTCAATGGGGAGGTTGCCGCGCCACTCCCTGTCACGCACAGCGTGGGGCTTATCAGGGGGTTGGAGTGCCGCCCCCTGTGACGCACAGAGCAGGGCCCATCAGGGGGGTTGGGGCTCCGTACCCTGTCACACAGAGCAGGGCCGATCAGGGGGTTGGGGCGCCGCCCCCTGTCACCCACAGAGCAGGACTGATCAGGGAGTTGGGCAGTTCCCCCCTGTCATGCATAGAGTAGGGCCGATAGGGGAGTTGGGGCACTGCCCCCTGTCACACAGAGTAGGGTGGATCAGGGGATTGGGGCGCTGCCCCCTGTCACCGACAGAGCAGGACCAATCAGGGGGTTGGGGCTTCTTCTCCTGTCACGAACAGAGCAGGGCGGATAGGGAGATTGTGGCCCCACCCCCTGTCATACACAGAGCCACAGGGCAAGCAGGGGGTTTGGGCGCTGCCCCCTGTCACGCTGATCCCGGCGCCAGGAGGCCTCTCGGCTCCGCTGATCCTGGTGCTGGGAGGCATATTATCCTTTTACTATATAGAATAGAGGCCTGGTGCATGGGTGGGGCTGGCTGGTTTGCCCTGAAGGGTGTCCTGGATCAGGGTGGGGGTCCCCACTGGGGTGCCTGGCCAGCCTG